CTTCTTCTTCTTCTTCTTCTTCTTCTTCTTCTTCTTCTTCTTCTTCTTCTTCTTCTTCTTCTTCTTCTTCTTCTTCTTCTTCTTCCTCCTCCTCTGTTTTTTTCCATAAACTTTGAAAATTTCTCCTTGAAGGGCAAAATTGCCAAACTGAGGACTTACTCGCTGTATACAATTTTCTGATTTATCTTAGATTTTGTTATATAACCACAAATCTAGTTCATAAGGTTAGAGGTGGCAAATTAATAGTTAACAAAGTTTATAATTTTCTAGACTGTGTTGGATGCTATTGATACTGCTGATTGTACTTCTTTAACCAAGGTCATAGAAATGTTCTAATCACTGGATCTTCCTGGTATGCTAAAACTGAGATTGCCTAAGGATCAAAAAAAAAATACTATAGCCCAAGTGCTAAAGAACTAAGGTCTAAGTCAAATAGACAGCCACTTCTCATCTCTAACAAATTGAAGAGGTATGCTCTTGCAATAGGCTCAAAACCCAAAAGCCAGTTATACCTGTAAGACACCGCTGAGAAATAGTCATTTTCTAAGGGTTCAACATACTAGCAATAAAAATGCTTGCCATAAGAAATTTATATGAACCAACCTAGGATTTAAACAAAAAAAAAGAAAAGAAAATAAGAAGACATTTCTTAAAAAATGTAACCTCAGAATTCCACTCACTAAAGGCAAACTCAGGGAACACTGTAGTGGAAAAACTGAAAACCTACCCAACTGGACTCTGAAGTTGTAAGAGACATAACAAAGCAGATGAATGAAACTCTAGAAAAAAAGTCAAATCACCTGTAATGAAAAGCCCACCAAAATCACAGCAGCTTTTTTACACAAACCCTCAAGTGAAGGAGAGCAACAAGTATTTCAAGCCCTACAAGGAAACAATCTCCAACCCAGACTGATGTACCTTGCAAAACTATCTTTCAAATTTTCTAGAGACATAAGGTATTTCCACAACAAAGAACACCAGAATAAATTCATAAACACCCAACTAGTATGCCAAAAATGTTCTGAAAGACATGCTAGAAAGAGATAACAAGGACTAAAACTTCATGAATCCCAACACAGTGAATCTACCATGCAAGGTAGGCTATTAAACAGAGGGGAATAAAAAGGAACCAACAACAGGAAAATAACATGCCAAGGAAAACTCGATACGAATCAGTTATAACTATCAATGTAAATGATTTCAATTCATCAACCAAAAGAAGCAGATTTGCAGGAAGGATCAAGAAGCATAATCTGACAATATGCTACATAGAAGAAATGTAATGTAAATTCAAAAAGAAATTCATATTATGAAAGTTAAAGGATGGAAACAAAGTGCTATGTGACAGGAACCCAGAAAAAAGCAGGAGTAGCTATTTTACTTGTAGACAATGTAGATTTCAAGAGCTGGGATAGCTCAGTGACATGCTTGGCAAGTGCAAGGTCCCGAGTTTGATTCCTTGTACCACACATTTTAAAAAGTGGATTTCAAGGGAAGACTGACTAAAAGAGGCAAAGAGGTCTCTACATTCTTGTAAAGGAAATGACCAAATTAGAAGAGATAACAATCATAAACATATGTGCAACAAATACTGCTTAGCACACCAAGCTATAGAAAACAACTATTAAAGGGCATAAAAAATCAGATAAACACTAATATAATTGTAATTGGGTCCTCAGTACCCTCAATAGACAGATCATCTAGACAAAAAAGTCAAGAAAGAACTGTCAGGACTAAACCAAAGTTTTAAGCATATGGACTTAGTAGATGTCTACAAATTGTTCCATTCCACAGTATCAGAATGCACATTCTCCTCAGCTGCACATGGAATGCTTTCTGAAACAGACCACAAACTATCTCATGGAACATGCTTAAGTAAATGCAAAGGAATTTAAATTTCCCACATATAGTATCAAATCATAGTGCAATGAAATTGGAAAATTGGTGTCAAAAGAAACTACAAGAACATCATGAACACATGGAAATTAAGTAACACCCTCCTGAACAACCCAATGGGTCACAGTTAAAATTAAAGAAGCTAGACAACTCACACAGTTAAGTATTACTACCAATATAACATTTCAGATCTTATGAGACACAATAAAATCAGTCCTGTAAGGGAAGTTTATAGCAATAAATTCTCATCAGACAAACAACTAGTTCAAATTAGCAACTATTTTTTTTTTCTTTCTTTCTGTATTTCAGGGAACAGTCTACAGGGTGTTCAGGGTCTCACTATTAGATCGGACTCATAGTGATTCTCCTGCTTACAGCCCCTCTAGTGCTGGGATTACAGGCACACGCCACCACACCCAGCCTCAATTGCTTTCTCAGCGTGCTCCGGGGGCTGGGGGGGAGCACAGCAGGCCTAGAGATTAACCCCTTGCCCTTGAACTACTAAATGTTGAACCTCAGCTTTCTAGAAAAAGA